CCGGGATTCAGCCGCTGATCAGTTTCAGCAGCAGCTGACTTGGGGATACCTGGGATAGAGCAGCTGGGGTGCTGCTGGGTTGGTCCTCGCAGCGCCGAGGTTTGGTGCTACCAGACCAACCCAGCAGCGCCCCAACTGCTCTGTCCCAGGCATCCCGATTCAGCCACTGCTGAAACTGACCAGGGCTGACTCCAGGAAGCTGGGGCAGAGCAGCTCTGTCTCCGGCTTCCTGGAGTCAGCCACTGATCAGTTTCTGCAGCAGCTGACTTGGGGACACCTGGGCCAGAGCTCCTGGGATGCTGCCAGGTTGGTCCCCGCAGCGCTGAGGTGTGGCGCTGCGGAGACCTACCCAGCAGCGCCCCAGCTGCTCTGTCCCAGGCAGAAACTCTTCCTCGGGCTTCCTGTAGTCAGCCGCTGGTCAGTTTCACCAGCGGCTGAATCTGGATGCCAGTTCCAACTTAAGTACAAATTCGACTTAAGTACAAACCTACAGTCCCTATTTTGTACGTAACCCGGGGACTGCCTGTACAGAGTTCGGGCAACCTTAACTCTGCCCTAATGGAACTGGCAATAGTCACTAGGAATTATTTCCATGCAGCCCAGCTGCACTGCCTGTGCAGAATAAATTGGAGTAGGTTAGATTGTGATATGAAAATTGGGTCTGAGTCCATCCACACGGCATCAAAGGAAAAAGATGCATGTGTACTTTGAGGTGCCTGTCTATCATTTCAATGCCTAATTGTGTAGTTTGTCTCAGCATCTGGGCACAGGGGCTTCTTGCTGTGGGTAATGTTAGTATTGAGGTGGAATATGTCAGCAGTCTATGGATTTAACAATGGGTACAGAAAAGCATAGGTTTAGATGCATTCAGTGTGTAAGTGTGGAAGGTTTCTAAGAGTATGACATGTTAGAATGCCCTATCAGGGTCTATCAGGGAGGATGGTGGGGGCAGGTTGGACATTTGGCCTGGGCCTCAGGAGACAGAGGAGCCTCAAATTTTGACATTTTTCTACCAAGTCATTTCCATTTATTATGCATCTTGCAGTTATAACAGAGACAACAAAAGAAGCGAGATATACCTGCAAAAAAATTGATTTAAATCATCGTGGGACCTCCAGCCTTCTCCAATTTTTCAGTCATATATGAGTTTTCATCTGCGTGACTGGAGACTTGAGTAGCTTCTATGATTTGTGATTCTACATTATGAAACGCTGTTTACAGTCTTTGTTGCATAGTTTAGAGGTTTTGAAAGTCCTAATTAATTCTATTACTATAAAGTGATTTTGCTTGGTCTGAGGGTGAGTTTAACCTCTAAATTAGATGTTCTTGCTCTTCTCTGGATCCTCTGTTTTTGTATACAATAACCATTTCAGGCTCAGCTGTAAGCCACCTCTTTTCCAGTTTTAGATTAATCTTTAAAGGCTTTTTTGTGATGATAAACTTTGAATTCTAGTTATTTAATAAACATAATATCTAATCTGGCAATCACTCCGTGTTCATATGCATAATAATGTACCAGTTATTAGAGGAATTTCATGATGGGAACATGTGGGCAGATGAAATTTCAAGACTTTGAAATAAGACTACAAAGAACCATAGTAAATAATACCCCCAAACCATTATAGGGTTATAATTCAAAATGATCGGACAAATTGGAGAAATGATCTGAGGTAAATAGGATGAAGTTTAATAAAGACAAATGCAAAGTGCTCCACTTAGAAAGGAACAAACAGTTTCACACATACAGAATAGGAAGCAACTGTCTAGGAAGGAGTACGGCAGAAAGGAATCTAGGGGTTATAGTGGACCACAAGCTGAATATGAGTCAGCAGTGTGACGCTGTTGCAAAAAAAGCAAACATGATTCTGGGATGCATTAACAGGTGTGTTGTGAACAAGACACGATAAGTCATTCTTCCACTCTACTCTGCGCTGGTTTGGCCTCAGTTGGAGTATTGTGTCCAGTTCTGAGCACCGCATTTCAAGAAAGATATGAAGAAATTGGAGAGGGTCCAGAGAAGAGCAACAAGAATGATTAAAGGTCTAGAGAACATGATCTATGAAGGAAGGCTGAAAGAACTGGGTTTGTTTAGTTTAGAAAAGTGTAGATTGAGGGGGGGGACATGATAGCAGTTTTCAGGTATCTAAAAGGGTGTCATAAGGAGGAGGGAGAAAACTTGTTCATCTTGGCCTCTGAGAACAGAACAAGAAGCAATAGGCTTAAACTGCAGTCAGGGAGGTTTAGGTTGGACATTAGGAAAAAGTTCCTAACTGTCAAGGTAGTCAAACACAGGAATAAATTGCCCAGGAAGGTTGTGGAATCTCCATCTCTGGAGATATTTAAGAGTAGGTTAGATAAATGTCTATCAGGGATGGTCTAGACAGTATTTGGTCCTGCCACGAGGGCAGGGGACTGGATTCGATGACCTCTCGAGGTCCCTTCCACTCCTAGTATTCTATGACTATATAATATACACTGTGAAGTATACAGGCAGTCCCCGGGTTACATGGATCCAACTTACATCGGATCCCTACTTACAAACGGGGTGAGGCAACCCCACACTAGCTGCTTCCCCCCAGCAGACCAAGCAGACGCAGCAGACACCTCAGCTTGAGAATAAAGGACTGAGGGAAGTGAGGTGTGGGAGAATAGAACTGAGCTCTGGAGAAATGTTTGGCTAGAGTTTCCCCTACAATATGTACCAGTTCCTACTTACATACAAATTCAACTTAAGAACAAACCTACAGTCCCTACCTTGTACGTAACCTGGGGACTGCCTGTATACCATTAAAATTTTGTATAACCAATAGCCTTTAGCTAATTAATTTATTGTGTGTTACTTTATTTTAAAAGGACCCCTTTATAAAAATGAAGTGAAAATTTGAAAGTGGTACAAGTAAGAGACAGCGAAAGCAACAGTATGAAATAGCATTTTAAGAGTTTAAAGGCAATAACATCATTTCTCGCAGAAAAAATGCCTCACACTTCCAGTTCTGATGAGGAAATCTCTGTACTCACAAACAACATTTCAATGCCACTGCCTCAGAATGAGGAGGTCATTACTCAAAATACAGAAATGCCGACTTTAGCAATAAATGCAGAATCTACACACAATTTAGAGACTGTGCAGGCCGCAAATGAGGACCTCGGAGATGCTGTGAAGCAAGAGTAAGAACTTATGACTAGCACAAGACACAGTGTAACAACAGTGGCGTCAGAACCTGACACGGAACTTCTTGATAAGAACCATGTTGCTCAAATGCAGTTGTTTCTCAAAGTTAGTTGTTTTCTGATTCCTAGTAATATACCTACAGATACTGAAAAACCATGCTTTTCCCACTCGTCTGCAGACAAAAACTCTTCTAAATGCAGAGATCTACACAAGAGGCTGGCTCTGCTGGAGCACGGAAAAGCAAGCTCTGTACTGTGTACCCGGTTTCATTTTTAACGGTAACACTTCAAATACATCAATACTGTCTGATCCATCCAGCTGGAACATCAGTAGAGGTTGGAGGAAGTTGCAAGACCGAATACCTGCACATGAAACTTCAGTATCACATAGATAACTATGTTACATGGAAATCAGTTAGTAGAGCAGCGCTAGCTGACAGTTCAATGGAAAATTTACTCCCGAGGGAAATAAACACAGAAACTGATAACTGAGTTTTCCACCAAACACAGCTTAACATCTCAATCTGATGCAGAAAGGCACTATTGAATCAATTTTTTTTTTGTTATTATTGACGCCATCAAATCTGGTCTTACACTTCGTTTTGAGTCACTGCAACAAATTTGTACTCTTTCTGGATTCCTTTGGGAGTTCAGAGAACTAAGTGATTAAGAACTATATTCAGTGGCTGAACAGTTTCAACAAAGGTACTACCAGAGTTGTTGACTCGAGTCCCACGACTTGAACTCGAGTCCGACTTAAGTCGCCTAGGTGACTCGACTTGAGACTCGAAACAGGTTCATTGTGATTTGAGACTCAACTTGAGGCTTGCTAATTTTGTTAAATCGACTTGGTGAAAAAATTGTCCGAAAATGCCAATATTAATGGCTTGTACAAAAGTGACTTAACATTTTTTAAATTAAGACTTGAGATTCGACTTGGGAGTTTACTCAAAAGTGACTTTAGGGACTCGAGACTTGACTTGAGACTTAAACTGTAGTGACTTGAGACTTGACTTGGACTTGACAATGAATACTACAATGAAATTTCAAGAGATCGCCGTGATGAGATTGCCTTCCTGAAAAGTATACATTCCACCAACTTTAAATCAGACTGCAAGCCAAAAGAACTGCTTCAAGAAATATTGAATTTCCTAATATCACAACTGCATTATGTATTTTTGTCAGTCTCCCTGCATCAGTGGCTTCAGGTGAATGTACATTCAACGTGTTAAAACAAGTAAAGAACTATCATCATTCTGCAATGGGACAAGAGCGTTTGAATGGGCACACAGTGCTTAATGTTAACAGCGATGTTGCACATAAATTAGATTTTTCTTCAATTATAAATGAGTTTGCACACAACAAAGCCAGAAAAGCATTCCTAAAATGGAGAATTTTACCTGCAGTGGAAACTCACAATTAAAGTTAAATTTTTAACATACATGCTATTTGTATAATGACTTAATTGTTAATAAATAAATATCTCAAGTGTTCATTTTCATATTTTCTTTTGGTTTTAGTATAGTTTAGATATGATGGGGGCCTGGGGCCTCTAAACACCAAGTGGCCCAGCCCTCTGTCATTCTCTGAGAGAATCGGCATGTCTGTTAAAGTTTGCAAGTGTGGTGTTCTGTCTGGGTCAAGTGTAGGCTTAACATTTAGCAAACGGCAAGGACAAGTACTATCTGTCCATTACAATGAAAAAGTAGAGCATGAAGGTGGTGTGATGTAGGGCATAGCTCAATAAAGGCAGAGTTAAGGGTGTGAGTTTTCTTTTAACCTTAACTCAGCAGTAGTTTTCCAGTGTTTGAGTTATGCTGAACTCAACATTCTGAAGGGCACAAGCTGTAACCAGGCAACCTTAACTCTGCATTAAAACAATTTTTTGCTATTTAATTTCCTAGAAAAAGATAAATGTTTATTGGTGAGAGCTACCAGTAATTTAGTTAACTGTCAAGTATCAGAGGGGTAGCCTTGTTAGTCTGAATCTGCAAAAGCGAAAAGGAGTCCTGTGGCACCTTATAGACTAACTGAAGTGGAGGAGCATAAGCTTTCGTGGGCAAAGACCCACTTCGTCAGATGCATGTAGTGGAAATTTCCAGAGGCAGGAAATACCTGCCCCTGAAAGGCAGGTATTTCCTGCCTCTGGAAATTTCCACTACATGCATCTGACGAAGTGGGTCTTTGCCCACGAAAGCTTATGCTCCTCCACTTCAGTTAGTCTATAAGGTGCCACAGGACTCCTCATCGCTTTTTTAGTTAACTGTAGTTCTCATCTAGGTTTGCCATTGAGATATGCTCCAGTAGGTAGGAAATAACAAAAAGACCTAGCTTTTATATACAGCCTCTCCCCGACTTACAAACCATTTACGGACCAAACAATTGGTCCGTAACTCGGTTTGTTCGTATGTCCGAACCCCATAGAGTTACACGCAACCGTGCTGTTCGTAAGCGTGGATCGCGTTTGTAACTCAGGGTCCACCATTTACAACAGCTTCGGTCGTAAATGCGAATGGTTGGAAGTCGACTGTTCGCAACTCGGGGACCAGCTGTAGTTCTTTCCTTTAGCACAGCTCAATGAACTTTTCAACATTACCCTCATATTACAGATAAAAAAAAATGATGCAGAGAGCTCAAACGACTTACCTAAGTCACTCATTGAGACCAAAATATTTTTTCCAGACTCTTATAATTAAAAAAAATATATATATTTTTTAGGAGCTGTATCTCTGTACCCGTTAGCCCCAAGAAGTGGAGATGGCCCCACGTCTGGATAACTAACAGAACCTGTGACTCCTAGCAGGAATACTTCCCCCACATACACACAAACACGAGTAGGGGGCCCCCTTGAACTGCTCACGGCCCTAAGTAATTGCTTACACTACAGATATATGTATAATGCTGCAGCTGCACTGCTACAGCATGTCTGGTAAAGGCAGTCTGCACTGACGGGAGAAAGCTCTCTAAGCAGCATAATTTATGCCACTTGCGGCAGTGGATTTTATGTCAATGTAAAATATGTCACTTATAGGGTGGAATATTCACACCTTTGAGGAATATAAATTATGCCAACATAAGCTGTAGAGTAGACATAAACCGAGTCTTACACATAGCACTACTGACCCCCGAGACACTCCAAACTTCAAGGCAATCCAAATAATTGACAGATTTCAGAATACTTACTCGAGCTTTAAACAGAAAGTTGGTCCTAACTTTAATTGTAGAAGGGCCAGATCCTCAGCGGGTATAATCTAGCCCAGTTCTTCAATGGAGCTATAACAGTTTACACCACTGAGGAGTCCATTCAAAATTTCATAGGCCAGTAAGGTCTATATTAATATAGTTAACTACAGTGCATTCAACTATCAAGTGTCACTGTGGCAAATTTAAAAACTTGGTTCAGGTCCCTTAAATGAAAAACATGTCAGCATTTGGATTTCATGAATAAAGCATTTAGTATAAATTAGTATTAATAAAAAATTATCAGATCCATGTGTGATGCATGGTAAATGAATTTTCCGAAAAGGGAGCAATGAGATGTCCTAAGTTAATAGGAGTAGCTGCAGTTCATTTTAGAAAAACTCTGTTTTCCATGTGTGATATGCACTGACTTTTGTCATGCAGATTTTCTACATGTAATCACCCTTTAGCAATATATTGTACTAGAAGATTTACCTGGCGTTTCTAGGGTATTAACTAAAATAAATTTTATTTTTTCCTTAATTTAAATCCTTGATCTGAGGTGGGGCTGAGGATGAGAAGTTGCAGCAACTTGGGGCCAAATGAGAAGCATTTCTCCATGGCCATTGCAAATGCAGCGGGCACAACCAGGGGAGAAGTGCATGTCCCACAACTGGGGGACAAACAGAAACACACACAGACAAACTCTCTCACATATATAATAGACAGCTATCCCTTTCTCCACCTCTGCCCCGTGCTGGCCCAATGGGGTTATAGCTGCCTCAGTCCCCATCTCTGGCCCCTTGCTGTCTTCCTGTGGGCATTATACAGTATAACTGTCCCTTTCTGTTTTATGAGAAAGAATCATATTCCAAGCACATCCTATTGTCCCAGCACAACCAAACCCTGAACCCTCATTCTTCTGTAGACTAAATAAACCCAAATCTTTCAGCCTCTCCTCATCAGTGATGTACTCCAGTCCCCTAATCATTTTTGTATCCTGTGACGGCGCGTTGGGGGTTCCCCGTCTCCTGCACCCCGAAATGGCACAAACAGACTCCACCAGCCAGTGGAATTGAGGGTGGTTTATTGCTCCTCCAGCACAGCGCAGCACAGATGTAATCTGGTACAGGAACTGGGGCTAAGAGGCCTCAGTGCCCCCCCCTTGAGATAGGGGAGTCCCAGCCCCCTCCCCAGCTCCTTATTCCCTGCCTTCCAGCCAGGAACTAACTAACCCTCACCCAGCCCTGCCCCCCAGCCAGGGCAGCATTCCACCTTCCTTTGTTCCTCTCCATGGGGGGTGTCTGGCCACTGGTTCAACAAGTTTGGCATTACCTTGGCCTAGTGAGGCTTTCCCTGCTGGGTCTTGCTCCAGACAGCAGGGGTCACCACAGCCCAGCAAGTACCCCCACTACGTCACATATCCCTCCACTGGAATTTCTCCAATGTGTCCACATCCTTTCTTTAATGGGGGGAGGGCAGACTTGGACACAATCAATCAACTTCAATGGGACTATGCTGATGCAAGGTTACATGCATATATGTGCTTTTCTAGGTTGGATTCATAGAAACCAAACAGAACTTACTGAAATTATTAATTGAGGATCTAAAAAAACTCCAATAAACACTCTCACCTTTGTTGAACTGCTGGAATCGATGGATCCTTCAAACCTATTTTATTCATCTTATCATGTAGGTCTTGAATATTTTTTAAGAGCTCATTATTTCTTGTGGAAAAAGTCTCCTGTGACTCATTTTCTTGGATGAGCTCCTTCTTACTTAGACGGGCAAAAGCCTTGTTTGCCTTTCCAGATAAGGCCACAATGAGTTCTTCACAGCAAGTCTTTCCCCCACATTCACCATTTTCCAAATAGATATCAACCATCTGCAAGTGCTCATCCAAACGTTTAGCCTCTTCTTTCATTAAAGAAACTTCTTGCTGTATAGCTTCTTTTGATGCACTTCCTTGCACCACTGGCTTGTCAGAAATTGAAGAGTCTGTTGCATGCTCAATAGAAAATGTAACTCTTTGCAATGAAGCCAAAAAAGCTTCCAGTTCTTTGAGGGCTGTTTTCCGGATCCGCATTTTATGATTCATTTCTTCAAGCTGTTTTTTATATGTAAGGATAATCTCATGTGCTGCTTGCAAATCTATTGGGTTAAATTCATCTCCTGATGAGCTGTCTGGGTTTTCCAGCTGTTTACACAATTCAATCTGATTGATTATACAGCTCTGGACTTTCTGAAATTGAGAGAACCACAGCAAGGTTAGCAAAGAAAAAGAGAAATTGCATCTCCTATTCCAAGCAAAGCATATGGCTAGAAAAAAAAATGAGACTGACCCCACATAAAACTGACAGTAACAGCATGAAAAAAATGTCTTTAGGATATTGCAGTTTGAGGCTTTTCTTTAGTTATACCTTAAATCAGACTTCTTGGTTCTTCAGTGACCCAAGGATCTCTTGATGCTAACTGGCAGATGATGCAGGTGTACAAGAATCCCGTGAACGTGACATCTACATACTAGAATGTCATGTAAGGTTTCAGCCAATGGGAGCTGCAATCATTGTACTGGAGGAAGCAGGGGCAGCAGCAAAGCCTCTCCCTCCCCCAGCACGTGGTGCAGAAAAGCATACAGAGCAACCAGCCGCTTCCGAGTGGCGTAGGACTGCAGCCAACAGGGAGCCTGCCCGAGGGTTCCACCAGGCTGCTGGCCGAGAGCCACGTAGGTAAACTCCTCCTGGGCAGAGCCTGCCTCTGGCGCCTCACTCTCTCCCACATCCCAACTCCCTGCCCCAAGTCGCGCCCCTCTCCCCCTTCAGTGCCAGGCCACCATTTAAACCCTCTGTACACACACCCCTGTCTACCCCAGGTCACAACTCCTCCCAGATCTTGCACCTCCCTGCTACATCTCTTCCCCAGGTCAGAATCCTCTCCTACACCTATGCCCCCTCCCGGACCCTGCACCCCAACCAATCCCCTGCCCTAGGTTACAACCTCCTCCTTCACCCAAACTTCCTCGAAGACCCCACATTCCAATCCCCTATCCCAAGCTCCCTTCTGCACCTAACCTCTATCCTAGAGCCTGCATACACCCCATAGAAAAGTGGGGTGGCCTTTGATCACCAACCAAAGCTTGGAGTGGCCCCTCATCAAAAACTATTGCCCACTTCTGGCTAAGAAAGTGCCAGAAGCTCAGTGCCAGAGAAGCAGTATCTAAATTTTGCCCAGTCTTAGCACATGGGATCCCAGGTACAGCAGTCTGGTAACTGTCCAAAAGGGTGAGCATCTGAGGGTTGTAATAATTTTCTACAATCTGATTTACACCCCAAGTAGGTTGCCTGTCCCAGTCTTTGGGAAGCTGAGTTTGGATATTAAGACCCACAGAAAATGCAGTAAGTCATGCTTGCAGCAGGTGGCGCTTCTTTAGTTCAGAAAGCCTGATACTAAGCAGCTCGACTGGGATCAATGTTATTTTGGATAAGAAAGACAGTTATGAGCAAGAACTATTTGTGAATCCATTGTGAATGGACACCATTGGCGTACACTTGAGTACCAGGGGTGTATAGCAGCATTATTCAGAAAAAGAGGGCAACACCCTGATCAAAGTCAGAAGGATCAAAACTTTCTGATCACTGAAAGCTTTTTTCAAATCCCTGAGCGAAACGTCCCATGCTGTTATCCAGCTCTTCCATGTACAAATGCCTATTTTTGCATCGTTTCACCTTACACTCACATTTGAAAACTGACATGTAGGGTATGTGTTCTTTCTTACCTTCAGTTCTCTATAAACAAAATCAGTATTTGTCAGAGTAAACTGCTGAATGTCTATTTTGTGGAGTTGTCCATCTGAGTTGCATAGAAGAATGAATTCCTTTTCTATTGGCAAAACTACTTCCAAAGCAGTCTTTAAAGATTTCATTCTACAAGAAAGATAAATAAACATGAAGAGGAGAAGGCAGCAGGAAAAGATGCTGCACGTATTTCAGGGAACCCCAGAACCCGCTCTCTAGTCAAAATATATAATGATTTTGGGTCGCGGACATCAACAATTTTTTTCAACTGGGTCACAAGAAAAAAAGTTGAAAGCCACTGCACTATACAATATATTCAAGATTTCATTCTACAAGAAAGATAAATAAACATGAAGAGGAGAAGGCAGCAGGAAAAGATGCTGCACGTATTTCAGGGAACCCCAGAACCCGCTCTCTAGTCAAAATATATAATGATTTTGGGTCGCGGACATCAACAATTTTTTTCAACTGGGTCACAAGAAAAAAAGTTGAAAGCCACTGCACTATACAATATATTC